TAACAATGAAACTAATTTTCCATGTGTCACATGTATTAAGTGTTGTCAATCATGTGTCAATAGTTACACAGTTTCGTTGGGGGTACATTTGTCATGACTACACGTACAGGGTAGTTATGACAGGTGTAACTGTTGACGATCGACTGGATGGTACATGTAATTTGTGTAAATTATGTAATTTACAAATGTATATGCATCATTGCATGTTTAGTTTACAAATTTATACATATATGTTAAGCTCATGTAGAGCCATGCCAACTGTGGGCCTATGGTGTGAGAGTCACTGGTATACGATACATATCATGCACATATCAGTACATACATATGTGTACCGGTATACTATGTATGAAAATGTGTCATCCAATTTTAGTTGGTTTTTTTCACACACCCTGGGCAGTTAGGGTAAACCCTAATTGCCTTTCATGTGAGGAAATAACCTTAATTGTGTAAAAAAAAAGGAAAAATGTTACAGGCTTAACCCTAACTGCCAAGGATGTGTTTTTTTATTTCTTCCTGAGTCACATTCATACCACTTGTGCTCAGTCTTTTCTACATGTTTATTTAAGTTTTAAAAAGGAAAAAAAGCAGAATTTTGGCCCTAACCTCAGTTCCGATTCACAGGGTTCTGTACTGGTACCTGTGGCTTTCGGTCTCCATTGTAGCCCAAAAATGATTGTTCACAAAGTCTAATTATAATCCTCAACACCTGACTAGAGACAGAAACTGAATTACATGTAGGTGCTACTCAGAAATGATAGCTCACTGCAAAGATCTGAATTTAGCTGATACTTTGCCAAGTGGAACCCTACATACAGTATTCTGTTTCCTGAGGACCCTGCTGAACCCAACAAAATGTTACACAGCTATATTTGCAAATATCTCTTTACACTGGTCAGATCAACAAAATACAACTCAAAAAGTTAACTGTGAGATCTTATTTAATTTTGTGTAATTAACGTAAAAGGTCTGGGTTACAGACAGAGAAGAACAAGTGTACATGTGTGTTTGAACGAATTGTTTTGCAATCCCAAGTTTTGAAAGGCCCTTACTGATATAGATTTCTCCAATTTTAAGTCTCAATTTCTTCCTTTTTTTGGTTGGCAAATGCATGTGACTGGAATGAATGTGGTGGGTAAATCCAAGAGACCATTTTCCAAATTTCCTGAAGAGAAGTTCCCATGTGATCCTTGTGTGTCCTGAACCATAGTTTGTTTAGGCCAGCTTTTCTCAATGCTGTGCACGGCATTGCTGTAACTCTTTCCCTAAAAAATCAAGCCAAATGTTGATTGGCTCTCTGTTTGGAGGAGGGATGTCTTATTGTAGCAGTGGCGCACTTAATCCCATCACAGGTCATTGGGTCTCAAGTCACAAGCTGTTCAAGCATTCCTTTGCCATTGTTTGCCCTTGTTTGCCCTGTTATCTGTACCTACAAGGACATGATGTATGAGAGGACTTGTGGCTAGATTCAACAACATCACCATTTCTTAGTGCAAAAATAAAAAAACTGCAAATGTCACAAATGTTAAAGGCTGAAATCATTCAGTGGTACATGAAAAATGAAACTCACATGTGTACTGGTAACAAAACTAAAGTATTAAAAGATTTCTAAGCTTGAGCAATTGGATGAAAGTAGTACATGTACGCTACGTTACGTATTGTATGTTTCGATTGTATGTTCTGATACATCCTTATACTGTACCATACCTGTTAAGTGGGCTTGTTATACACATGTTGTGAGTGATACAGTACATGTAGCTTTCTTCGCCATGTACATGTACATGTACACAAGTGTACGAGTCTGGGTCAGCTGAAGCATACATGTACGTAGAGTACCGTAATATGTTCATATTTGCTTGTGTACATGTAATGTAGGTCTGCACTTCATGATGTTCATCATATGTACATGTATGTGTTAAGTGCATTTAAAACTAAGTCCATTGTGTATTGTCAGTTGCATATTATGCGACATGACTGCTCATCGTTATTCTTGATCTGCTTTGAAAGTCAACAGCACAAGGAAGTCCATACCGATAGGAAGCCAACCCTCACTCAGTTCTTTTCATTAAGAACATCGATGTGAAGGACAGATGTGTATTGTTTAGGAATTTCCAACTTTATTTGCAATGCTAATTTGTGGGGAAAAAATAACATGGTGATGTGGATGTGGGCACAGAGAAGTTCAATTATCCCATTAGCCGTTGTTGAACAAGCACCGATACATGTGCCTTTTGCAGGATGAAAAAATGAATTCTACGTGTATTCTTGTTTTCACTAGTCACAAATGTCCTTAGGGGTGGTATTTTTAGATGTGAGAGATTCTGCAATGGATTCACTTACACAGTGAAGGGAGATTGTGACATGAGGGCAAGCATTACGTGGAAGCAGAGAGAAATTCAAGAAGTGGGAAGCATGACAGTATAAATGTCAGGGCTTTTAACAGGCTCCACTCCAGAGACCCTGCACATGTACAGTACCGGTACATGTAGGCCTACTTTGTACATGTGTACATGTACGTACATTATGTATGTATTGTGAGGAGGTTTGATTGAAAAAAACAGTTGTTGACTGTTGTCTTGGTACTGTGCACCTACAGGTACATGTGCACTGTACCAGTGTACGATAACTTGCAATACCAGGGACATGCCAAGTACCCGCTTACCCACAACCCAACCGCTGATCACGGGTACCCGGTTCCATTTCGTTGATTTTATTGCCCAAAACTGCCCGTGTAAATGTCAACACAACATTTCAGAAATCAAGCACCCTTTTCCCTTTGCACACTTGATGATATATTGTGAGAAAAAATTTGAGTAAAATATGTTTTGACTTTTGAGTCCATTTAACAATTTAGATCACAGATGAATCAGTGAAAAGAACCAGTCACGACAGTGATTACATGCTGCACATGGAACTTACCTTAGGCTGACCAGCTTTGCCGGGCGCATTCCGGATTTTTCACACCGGAATCACTTGTACCGGTATGCACACTGCATAAACCAAACCAACCTGCAACGGCAACAAATCTTGGCTTTCAACTGTAGAAGGACTTTGACTGTAGAAGGACAGGTCATGTGACTGTCGTGATGTACTAGGAAAGCCCAAGTAAAAACATGCCTTGACTCTGTGCTGCGCATTGCGCGGTTACGGCGATATGAAAGTTTTGCCCCATGAAGGTGCAACGTTTAGAAGGTTTATTGCTTGTTCATCATTACAAAAGAAACATTTAGGTAACAACAACATAAAATCTTACCAAAACAATAATTTGTGAACAAGACTATAAACCATTACAATTTACAAAGAGATGGGAAAATGTGTAACTACACAAACCTACCAGTGCTACACTTTAACCCCAACCCCCAAGGGTTGCTGGCCCCAACCTTCCCCATTCACACAAAGTTGAACACCCATATGGGACTTTCTGAGGTATGCCAAGCCCAATGCAAAAGCCAGCTGTTTCGGGCTACCAGACCTATCCCCACAGAATTAAACACTTTACTACTGTTTAATTCTGTGTGGTTGGGGAAGGTTAGGGTTAATTAAGTTGCAAAGCAGTCCCGTGCAATTTTAGTTCTTGAATTCTCATGTGTGCCAGTGCAGGGCTCGATCCAGCTGCTTGGCAGTAGAGTGGATGGGGGATGCGATGGAAACCACTTGACTAACATGGTTTTGTTATTATTTTAACAAGAAGTACAGGTACCAGGGGTCCCATACTACCCGTACATGTAAATGCACACCACCATACAATACCATATTAGACATGTTAGAAGCCGCTTTGTAGCACATGTACATGTTCTTGTACCTGTACGTACACGTACATGTACATATACTGTACATGTGCTGTACATGTACTGCCACAGTATTTTTGTTAATAGTGCTTTTACCTCTGTTGTGCTGTTGTAATGCTGTGGTTAAAACTTACGTGAGACCTTCCGTTTTTAATATGCAATCTTGTCAGTGTACACGTGAAAGTGAACTGTGTTTATAAGTACTGATGACCAGGCAGTGACATACAGGTATGATTTGTAAGTTCAGAACACATTTTCGACAGTAGTTTCCAAGAGTGATGAATTAATGCAAATTACCTGCCAAACAAATAGTAATAGTTTGAAATCAATTCTGGAGATATTTCCACGTCAAATAACAAAGGTCTGATGTAACGGACACAAAAATGTCACACTTTTGGACCCCTAATTTCTGTTTCCTAGGATGGATTGGCGCCGGGGAGATGTTTATTTCTGGAATTTCCAAAATTCTGGAATTACCCATATGTACATGTGTATGTACATGACCATTATTCTCCTTTTCAAAAACACACAAATGTGCAGTACTACATGTACCCGATTAATCACAGTACATATACACATGTATGTGCGTGAATATATCTTACAGGGGGATGGGATTTCTCAGCCTGTTAGCTGATTTCATTTTTTTTTGTTTTGGATTTCAGCTTCTTTTCCTCACTGGCTGTTTACAAAAGTATAGGAGATTTTTACAGTCAGCACCTTTTTTATGCCTTTTATTAGCTGTTTTCGGCCATTTTTATCATTGGTAAATCTCACCCCGATGTGGCATTCTTGATTTTAAATAAGTACATTGTACCTGCCCTGTTTTATTGTACAGATGAACAGCCATAATGACAGCAAAGTACAATTTATCAGGCTGGATTTCATTTTGTAAACACTCTGCCTATGAATGACAGGACCAGAAACTCTGAACGACCACGTTGTATTGACTCTGCATTGCCGTTATGCAAAGCAAATATGGCATTTGATCGTGTACATGTACGGTACCACGAGGATATTGGGTATCATTTAGATTACAGAGTTTTTGCTGGTACATGTGTACTTGTACGCATGTCTCCATTTTGAGTAAAACAATTAATGTACCGGTACCTCCCAAACGAAAAAAAAATCTCTGAGCTTTTTTCGTTGTTGTTTAAGCAAATTTTAGGTGATTGTCAATTATACTGAATTTTCTTTTTGTTTTGTTTTGAATTACAGGAGGACATGGGTCTCACAGGGAGCAAAGCTGACCCTCTGAGGGCGCGTGACATGGCTAGCAAGAGGGAGATGGTGCTGCAGTACATGAAACGCTCTGGCTCCTCCGCGGTAAGGACATCACTAGGAAAATTCCTAGAGTGTCCTGGATGAACAGTTATTGGTCCAGGGGTTCTGGAAAAGTTCTGGGAAAGTCGTGGAAAATGAATTGTCCTAAATGCCTTGCTATCCCAAAGACCGCATCACTTTTTCCAGTAGAGATGTACTTAAAATGTACAGTTTCCTTTTCGTCTCAGAGACTCTGGGAAAGCTCTGCAAAAGTACTGGAGAATAAAGTTGCCTTAAACACCTCAATATCCTAATGTGCCACTGAAGTTCCATTTCTCTGCGTGTCACACCTCACATCATACTGTCAGCCACAGTGCAAGGTCGAGTGATTGTGATCATTCGTATTTTGCATGAATGAATTCCTAGTGGGGTTCTTCAAAAATCCGGAAAAGTCCTGGGTGTTTGATTGTGTTCAGTGAGTTTTAATTCATGGTTCTTGGACAGAGTTACAAACTTACATTGAATGGAACAATGTTGAATGAGCTGCATACGAAGGAGAAGAATTCCTCCCCCAAGCACCACCTGTCCCTAATGAAGCAAACAAAATTTCACTGCCGAATCAACTATCAGTTTCAAGCAATTAACAGTGGTTTATAACCGTACAATCTGTTTTTGCTGATTAAAACGTTCTATGCTCGGCTATTGTCAGTGCTCATGCAGATTGCTGGACAGAATGTCCACCAAAGCTACATGTACCTGTCTGGATTGACTTCAAGGAAGAAATGGTTCAGGCATTTTGACAATTGATGTTTACATCTCTACTACTTTAAAAACAGGCCAGTCCACTCTGCTTTTTGAATTGCAGTATATTGGAAAAAACCCTGTATCCAGAGCTGTTTTTCGAATTGTAGTTCCTCTGCCAGAAAGTCATGCCTTCTTGCACCCATCTGGCTTTAATTGTGATTTGCCCCTCGATAGGAGATAACCGCCATCAACGGTCACCCGTCACAGACAGTCGCTGCAGGAAAGAAGGAAATGAAATATTTGATCAATTTCTTCCTGGATGTTGAAACAATCAGACGTGGCCACATGGGTTAATGCCCAGGATTGGTCGGTGTCAAGGTTGAGGGAGAGGGAGGGAAAAAGAGGAACATGCAGTAGCGGAAGTCCATTCTAGCTAAATGTAGCAATGGAGTAGAGCCATACCCCCTTTTCGTATTACGGTCATACACTGTAGTTATGGCTTACTGGTGGTTACAGAAAACCATGTCTGGTCAGTACAAAAGCAAAAGGAAGTGTCACAGAATTTGAAAATATAACTGAGTCACCTATGAGTACCATCAAACACCAAATGAACAATACTGCTTCTGAATGCTTGAACAACCCATTTTCATCTGTAATAAGGTTCTATAAATTGCATTTCTGAAGCAACACTTGTCGCTAACCAACAGGAAAATGGCTTTAACTGATTTGCTGCTCATACAAATAGTATGCAAAATGAGAAGAGTCTGTAGTTGTCATTGGGAAAGGCTTCCGAGTTTTGGAGAGAGTTTAACATTTTGGATTTCCGGTCATGTGTCACATATACATGTATGCTTGTAAAATATTTTAACACTGAATGTTCCATCTATTTGCTAAAAAGCCTCAGGGAATTTGGCTGTTGATTGCCATCAGTTTCAGTGCTAAGAGCCTCATGCACAAAGGGAGCACCGTCCAGGATATTTCATTTTTTGTCCTACTTAGTGTCACATTGCTGCAAGGGTTTTTCACTCAAATGGTTTTGATATCAATTTCGAAAGCCACTTCCTTAAATTTGAAAAGGGATCTGCTCCCATTACATTAATAAATGCATTTGTAAACACACCGTTGTAACGCTGGCACTTCAGCATGGTGATATATTTACATGTACTCGTGTATATTGCATCATGTCTGAATGCATGTATGTGTGTCTGCAACAAGTGTAGACATTGATGGCCAGACTGTAGTCAAATGAATGTATACGTGTCTAGTACATGTAGAAACACAGTAATACTCTCTGAAATCTCAACATTTGAGCCAAACTACATATGTACAGGTCACAAAATGAGATGCAAAACACCAGAGCCCAAATATTGAATTTTGATTTAAAGGCCCTTTAAAAATTTTGTCAAGAACTCAATTTGCTCCTCCTGCTGCAAATGAAGGCAAACATGCTCTGTACTTAAAGAATGGCCCCAAGAGTCATTTTGTGGGATTTGGCCACCTTCATATCCAGCATAGTACAGGACATGGAATTGCACTGAGGGATTGTCACAGTCACATGGTCTGTTGAAAACACAAATGCTGTAAAAACAAAAATGTATACCTTTTTTGGTTGATACAATATACAGTAGTTGTCAGTCATTGAAAACTACAGTATGTCAGCCAAATTTGCTGGGATGTGATCAGCCATTCAGGGGCTTGTAATATTTAGTTGATATAAACTTGTTTTTTTTCAAATAAAATCGGAAGGCAGACTGTGTCCTGCGTGTAAGTTTTGGAAAAGCAGTAAACAAATTTTTTGAAAAAACATGATTATTGTACAATGTCCTGTGTAAATAATTTCCATGTAGAGTTTTGTTGGGTTTGTTGCATGGTCAGGGTTAAAAATCTGTATGCAATGACCTAACTACCCGCAAGCATAATGTGTTTTATGTGATGTTTCACTCTCACTACAGCGTACATGTACATACATATACATTATGTACATGATATGTCTAATACACATGTAGCATATATTATCTAAACTGGCATGCTAAGCCTTTACCACTACATGTACAGTGTACATAAGCCGAGGTTGGACGTTGTCTTCATTTACACTACAACTAACGTCCAGGGTATAAGAGTAGATCGTGACGGACAGTGTGGAGTTTCGCAAAATTTCCTACAAAATATGTTGTCTGCGGGCGTATTTAGTAATTTCAACACAGCATTTATGGAATTCGGGATACAAGGCACTTGTGAAGGACATTTGAGCCGTCTTTGCAAGGTAAAAATGTGAGAAAAAACGTTCAAAAAATTTCGCATTGTAGGAGGACTTTTATGCCTGGACATTAGTCGCAATGCAATGTAGGCGACGTCCAACCTGGACTAAGTGCACATATACATGGACATGGCCCATTATAGGAGGCCATGTGCATGTACATTGCAGAAAGGTGCCCTCAACAGGTGTACAAAAAGACAATGCAATCTGATTTTTTTTCCCTTTCATTTCTTGATCTCCCTCAGAATAGAAAAATGGTGCAGAAACCGGGCGACTACATCTTAGAGTTGAAGCACTGCGGGTCGGGGGACTCGGAGCGCCTCCTCTCCACCCTCAGCTCCCTGAAGGTGTCCCTGGGCAGTAACACCATCAGCTGGGTCCAGCAGTTTGGGGACAGTGGCCTGGGAGAGATACTGAAGATCATCAATGATTTCACCAACAGGTCAGCTGCCTGAAACTATAATGGATTTTGGTGGAACAGTGGAGATCAATGACATATCAAATTATGTGTGCAAGCAAGGCCTTAAATAACAAGACATGACCAGTAATAAAACAGTGTTGTCCCTTCACAAGTCCAGTCACAAGTCCTTTCACAAGTCCAGTCACAAGTCC